TTTTTTTTTTCTTTAACCATCAAATTTCTTTTTAATCGATCACACAGTGTTATTCAAAAAAATGTTCAAAGATAATCTTTATATTATTGAATTTATTTTAAATTGAAAAATTTTTTTAAAAACTGATTAAAAATAATTGAAAAATATGATTTATATCTTTTTTCTATGATCTTTCTTTCCCAATTTTATTTGACATTTTTTTGATAATAATTAAATTTATTTTTGAAAAAAGATTATTAAATTTCGCACAATTTTAAAAATTTATTAATATTATGACAGATATTTCAATTACACTCGTCGCATGAGAATTAATGTCTCATCATGTGTCGATAAACTTACTCTGTCACAACACGGAAGACAAATAGGTTATATGATTAATCAAGAACACTCGTTCCGACGGCACGTGAACACGATGAGATTTTTCTTCTTCGTCTCTTTTTCTTCTAGACCTACGGGATACGATGATCAGTTCTCAACGTTGAGTTCTTAAGCGTCGACGAACAAGATCCAATTAAAGAGGACAGTGTTTATTTAAAGGCAATGCGTATGAAAGTGTTCCGGAAGATTCAAACAAAAGTAAACAAAAGAAGGCACAAATTCGTTACTGAAGTGCACTCTAGTGATTTTCGTTTGATATATGTAGATGTGCTATAATATTGCGTTTTTTAAATTTCGAGATTAAATATGATTGTTTTATTAATTATTAGATTTCTTAAAGAAATTGATTATCAATTATTGTTTTGAAATATACATATATATATAAAATATAATTTTTTTCATTAATATTTCATAATAGAAATTTTTTTTAAAAATTTGAAGTCTCAATATAATTTTATTATTAATGATATGGATGATACACAATTTTTCAAAACCTGTCTCAACTTGTCTCGACTTGTCTCGACCTGTCTCGATCTGTCTATTCATGTCTTCATTATCATGCAATTTGATATTTTGATATTCCTATATACGATAATATTTGTATTAGGAATTGCTTCATATATCGGCCGTGCAGATTTCATCTTGTCTAATGGAATATTCTTATAAACAGGATGACGAAATTTATTAATGTTTCAAGTTTCAATCAAATCGATGACTTAAAGATTCTTATCTTGTCAATTATAAGGATTACTATAATCTTTCTTATTCTTTTAATAACCAATTAATTATTTTGTAATATTTTGGATGTATTATAAAAATAATGGTAAAAACAGTCACACGTAAACATATATATTATTCGAAATTTTTAAAAGACAAAGATTTATAAATGAATTGACAATCGACACTGTAGCAATAATAAAAGAAGAAAAGACAGATATAATAAAACTAACCTGATTTGCCTGAACCGTCTTGTTTCTCCTGCCATTGGACAAAATCTCGGCGCGAAAAGTTTGCGGTTCCTCTCCCTCGTCACTCTCCAATACCGCCATCAAGTATCCAATATACGAAGCTGCTAGTCTCAACGTCTTAATTTTCGATAACTTCGTATCTGCCGGTACATTCGGTATACAATCACGAAGATCGGCAAACGCGTTATTTATGCTCTGCGTTCGTCTTCTTTCTTTCTTATTCGCTGTATTTCTTCTTTTAGGCCTGACAACTACGCCACCGTCTCTGACTCCTTGTCTAAGATGTTGTTGAAGCGAACCATCGACTTGATTTATCGAAGAAACCGTGGAATAATCGCTATCTCTTCTATGATTTTGTTGATGATGATTATGGTGATGATGATGAAAATGATGATGAGGGACGTCTTGTTGGGGCGGATAAGTTAGATTGGAATAGTGTTGGTTCATCGAAGTTTGTGGGTATTGTTGTAGAGGGGAGTAACTGGGTTCCTGGACACCAATCTCTTCGATCAAGGGAGGTGTTGAGGCGGTGGGACTTCCTGCGCCAGAACTACCCCCAGAAATCCCGGAATCCGCGCCCCAGTACGTCGATTGGCTATCCGCATCTGGCATGTTCAACGGACCTGCGATAGAAGAATGGAGAATTGTATAGAATGGCGAATAACATTTTTTTCATATTGTTGAATTTTCTTGTTGTTTTCTTTATTTCTTTCTTCTTTTCTAAGAAAGATAAAGAAATCGTTTTCGATATAAATAATTATATGTCCGATAAATTGGTAACAGAAAAATGAAAAATTTTATTAAATAATTAAAATTCTTTTTTTGAATCATTTTATGCGCTATTTTATTGGATTATTAAAATCATTTTAAAAATTAGCTCAAAAAGATTACACGTTACAAAATATTCTTCTAGGATAAAATATTTCCTCACTGTTCGATAAAAAAATAAATCTAATTTTTTTATTATAATATAAGTTAGAATATTAATAATATCAATTCATATTTTATTATTTAAACTTGACAACTCCGAATTATACATGAAAAATGTTATAAAGAATTTTATATCATCAAAATTTATAATATGGAACATGAAAAAAATTTTTATATGCATTTTTTTATATTTGATATTTATAGAATATTTATAGATATATGAAACTTACCATACGGTAATTGTGTAACATAATTATAGGGTTGATGCCATTGCGGATAGTAATCCGGCTGCGCCTCGTAGCTTCCCAACATCATATTAAATTCCTTCTACTTTTTTCACTTTTTTTTCTTGCACCACTGATCAACTGATTCAAATATGTCCACAACAAAATTCAATCTTTTTAAAAAGTTTTAATTTCCGTTTAATAAACAGATTCTTCTTAGGGCATCATAGACTCGTGTCGAGAAAATTGAAGAAAATTTCAATTGATCGTAGTTCTGATATAATTTGCGATGAAGATTTCTTGATAAATTATATCCAATTTGAATAGAGGAAAATTTTTGATTAATAATAATTTTATCCACAAAATAGACATATGATGCTAATTTCTTCAAATATCTTCGCTCCTTTACTTCGTCATCATAGATATTATAAATTTCAAACTGAGTTAAGATAGATCATGATAATATCTCCGACAATGAACATGGTAGCGATGATAAATTTGATGATTGTTCAAAAATAGGCGTGTAATGATTTCTAACAAGTCGTGACGAACAAGTCAATTTATTATAAAAAAAATATCTTCGATTAATTGTAACTCCACAAAATATACTCCATAAAATAATCAATATAACCGATTATAACAAGATCATTCTAAATATAATCCAATATACATTCACGAATATTAATAGCGATATTAATATTAATCCGATTAATCATGTGATTTCACCACAATGCAAGCAATTCGATCCCGAATTTTCTCACAAATCTTTCACAATTCCTTCATCCGAAGAAAAAATTTTTCTTCACCAAAAATTCACAAAACTCGATAGCTTAAACGTGACAAAATCTCGACGATTTTTTATTACGTTCATCTTCACAAGTAGAATCACAAGCACGGCGAAAATGAAAGTGAAATTAATGAAAATATTTCCAGTTTTTTTTGGAAATGGAGCACGAAGAAACACGAGGGTTGAAACGTGTGATACCGTGCCTCGATGTTCCCTCGTGATCGATGCGTTTCGAGTTGCGGTCCAAATGCCACTGAGAAAAGAAAACCGATTTCGGAGATCACCTCTAGTGGTTGGGTGATTCTGTTTGGTACTCGAGCACGCCGCTGGTGGGTGTAGACGCAGGCTCCAAGAGAGGAGAAACGTTAAAGCTCGTGGAAGCTCGACGAGTGGAATCGAAGGGCGGAGTCCAGGCTGGTCTACGCCCATGCGGCGTACCTCGTTCGATTCAATTAGGAAATTGAACAGGGGAATTGGCCAAAACCGGGGGAATATGATTTAGCTAAGGAATGGAGGGTATCCACTGTGTATCATGATATGAAATATATTAGCCACGCGATAGTAATTTTTTACTTCGTTTTTTTCTTCGATTTTCTTTTCTCGTTGGGCGATGACCAGGATCGAGGTAATAGTTTTTTTCAAGTGATAAATTTTCGTTATAAAGAGTTATTATTGTATAAAAATTATCGATATGTAATCCATTTCTAAATATAATGCGAGTAAGTTCAATAAATTCGCAATTGAAAATTATTATAATTAAAAAAATAATAAACACGAAATATAAACAATAAGATATTATCAATTTCGTTATATACGTATTTATAGGAATGAATCAATTTGCTCGAACGGATTTTAATTTGCAATTATTTGTTAAAGGTCAAAAAAAAAAAAAAAATGGGCGTCCATTATCCAAGTGAAATCTTACGAACATACCTTGTATCTATAATTAAAACAGTCAGAGAAAATTGAGCATATCCTCTTCTTCGATAAATATATTTCTACGAATTTCATCCAAGTACATTCTATTTTAAAATTTTCGGTGATAGACTTTTAATTTTAAGTGGCGTAACAGAGTGGAGGGGGAGGGGGATGCTCGAGTGGTTTTTGATAAAAGTCGTCGTAATTAGTGGCAAAAAGGACTGAAAATAGTATCGGTCAGCGCACGATTCTGTTCTATGGCTTGGCGCTACTTTAAGTAGCCTTATCTGTCTTTTTCCCAGGGCTGACTCTTCTTCGGATGGCAAAAAGCCCCCTCTGTCAGCGTGCGTTACCGTCAACGCGTCATCGCTCCACTTTTTTACCGACCTTTACTCGCGCGACTCAATGTCGAGCAAATTAACATTCTTATCTGTGATTGAGAACCGCGGCCGATGTTATCTTCGGGATTAAAAGTGGACTTAACCTCACTTCGAGGGCGATGCCTCGATTATTTTGATCGAAAAACTTGGACAATTAAATTTCCTATTCCATCTCTGCCATTGGAATCATGTATCGAATAAAAATTTTGATAAATAAAAAAAATTTGATAAATAAACAAAATTTTGATAAATAAAAAAAAAAAAGAAAAAATAATAGCGTATATGTATATACGTATATTTCTGTATCATTAGTATTTTCTTCTTTCCCTCGATCGATTTCAGGAGTAAGATTATAAATGTTTTTTCACATAAATTTCACAGATGAGCGGTTCAAAGTGAAGTTTACGACGATAAAAATGATTTAAAGGCGATTTTCCGGGAACGAAGATCTTTTTCGGTAGCGTGCGCCCTTTGCTGCTGCGCGTGCAAGTCAAAGGATTCGAGGCAATTCTGAACAAGGAAAATCTTCCGTCGGTGTTTCTTGAAATACGATACCGTTTGAATTTTTATTAACCCAGATCAAGGATCGCGTCCCTTCGACAAGGAGTTACTGTGAATATCGGTCTGAAACGAACAAAAAGGGTTTGTTTATTATTTCGAACAGCAAAGAATAACCCTTTTCTTCAATCACCACTCCTTATTCTCACCGTTTGATCGAAGGTTTCTCATCTTTCTTCTTTCCTTGTTACACTTTTTAAGCGATAATCTATTATTTTCAAGGATAAAAAATAATCATATTATAGTTTTTAAACAACATATAATATTTATTATTATATATTCGATATAATTCGATCATTATATAAAATCAATTACGTCTAAGAATATATCAATTTTGTAACTAAATCAATATTTTTATTTATTATTCTTGTTTTTTTGAATGTGGCATGGATAATTTGTTGTACTTTCCATGGTATAACGATATATCTTGTATAAACTCCATACAATTTCCATATATATATATATATATACATATATATTTGACAATAACTATAATTAAATTAATACAATCAATTTTCTTGTAACACAGTACAATGTGAGCATAATATGAATGAATTTTATTATAGAAAGGTTATATCTGATATTTAGAATATTCTTAAAAAAAAGGTCATAAAAAAGAAAAGCAAGGGATATCCTTTCGTATGGGCTCATTCATGGTTTAAAGGGCTACCGGATTTTCATGAATGAACTCGGCGAGCGGACGTAGTAAGAGGAAGAAGCAACCGGTCTTCACGACCGTCTACCAGTTTATGATATACAGAGGACACGTGCACGCGATCTCAATGTTTATGTTTTCAATTTGTGACACCGGAACGGTTCCGAAATCCGGCACGATCTTAGACCTCTTTAGAAAGAAGTCATCCCAACTTAATGATGCTAACTAATTTGTATCCATTTTTGATCCTTCGTCGTCTCGATACAGATTTTTATTTCTCTCCAATATTCTGAGAATATTGGAAATTCGATTGGAAAATAATTTGACGAAATTTGAAGATTGAATGTTCGACATTTTTTTTAATTTTCGAAGCATAAAAATTGAAAGATTTCAAAGATTCGTTAATTTCTTTTTTAAAAGTGAAGTAAAAATTAGGAAGAATTAAAAAAATTCAAAATTCAGGAAAAAATTTAGAAATCTTGAATTTCAAAGATTCGAAATTGCTTTGATTCAGATATTATTTTCTTTCTTTATATTCTTATATTTAATGAATATGAGTTTTTACGAATATTTTTCTTGGAATATTGAGTTAAAATATATAGATTAATCGGGATTGGTATATATAATAATGAATGTATAACAGATGCATTCAAAAGTCTATATAAATCAGTTTGAATCAATAAACACGACGTTCGAGTTTAGCAAGAATTAATTGAAAAAAATTTGCTGAGTAATTTCATGAAAAAATAAAGTCGTGTCTTTTTTCCTTTATATATATGATGTTAACAACTAATAGATATGAAATATATAAAATATGTATATCGTTATTTTGAAATCGAAATTACAAATATTTTATTTGCATCGTCCATTTCATAATACGTATAATATGTATAAATTAATCAACAAATCAATTATTCACTAATATTTATTCAAGCTTTCGTAAATACCCGCATAATTATTTAATTGCTCATCCAATCAGAAACCATTACTGAGATGCAAGATTAATGCCTTTATTTTCGATTTTCTGAGGCTGACTCGCAATACTCGATGGATCGTCTGTCTTTATCCTTTCTATACGAACTCCATTAATACTCGGTAACGCAATAAACTATATTTAGGGGGCGGCATGGCGTACACGTAGTATGATTTGATATCTCCTGAAACGCCACATGGCCCCTCTGAATTTCTCTTTTCCTCTCCGCTACTGCTGACTTAATCTCACTCTTTCTCCTTCCTTTTTTCCATCTTTCCTCTTCCTTTACCTCCTTCTGTTACCTCTTCTGTTTTCTTCTTTTTTCATCTACTGGTGGAACTTCACCATTTATATAGCCGTGTAACTTCTGCTCTTCTTTGAGAGATTAAATTTTAATG